GTGATACCCGAGTTGCTCAGTCATCTAAATTTCGGCTTCTGATTGTAGCTCTCTGAACTGCAATGTCAGCACCACACTGTAGGTTTCTTAACTTTATAGGCAACCTTATTGATCAATTGTTTCAGGAGCGTGGTGTGCCAGAACTGAGTGTTGGGAACTGGGACTCAGCTTGTGCATCATAGAGTGCCGTGGGTTTTAGTACATGCGAATCTGTGTGTGTGTGTGTGTGTGTGTGTGTGTATGTATGTATGTATGTATGTATGTATGTATATGTGTATATATATATATATATAACACAACATGTTACCTTTTTCATAACTTTTAAGAAAATTAGATTTACTAGATCAAAAAGGACAAGTTGGAAATAAAAATGAACATGATAGTTCAGGTGACCTAATAGTTGTACATTAATTATATTTCCAAAAGATCAGTCTATCCAAAATTGGGTGGACACTGGTGAACCAATTCTAGCTGCTGTCATGCATCTGCTTGAGACTGTACATGAATTTGTATAGTTTGTTATAGTGCTTTTTAGGCATTTTACTTTTTTAAATTTATTTAATCACTCCTGCAAAAAGGGGAAAAAAAAGTTTTCTAATTTTTCGCATTTGATGCATATGTCTGAATGTTATGATTAAGTCTTGTGGGCACTGAATAGGCTTTTAGACTACAGCAGGTAGAAAAAAACAGCATTGTAGCACACTGTTATCAACGACTTCCTTTCATTTGTCCTGAAGTGGAACATAAGTTACACTGTGGGAAACCATACTTGTTTGAATGGCCCTTCATATATCTTAGTGCCAGGTTCATTGTGGGTTCTTTTTCTTTTCACTGCTCTCAGGAAATTCTACTGGAGTTGTTCTACAGTTTAGTGAACCAGCACTGCACTTTTCAACCTGAAGTAAAAACCTGTTCAAATGAAACATTAAAAAAAAACTGATACCTTGTTCACAGGCACCCCTGAGTGCCTACACAGAATATATGTTTTTGTTGAGCGAGCTCTGGATCTCGCGTAGAAGGGAACTACAATATGTAAACTGTTTCTACCTGATCAGTGGCTATAGCTCCTGTCCACGCATCTTTTGGCTAACTCATCTCTTTGATGGGTGACCTCCCTAACCAATAGCGAGGTGTTGCAGGCAAACATAAGGAAGTTCAGTATTGGCAACCATTGAAGCTATTGCTGTTTGCACATTAGAGCAGCCTGCTATTTTGGGATCCCAAGTGAACACCAGACATGGTATTCAGGCATCTGAAGTGGTCTCCAATACAAGGTAAGGTAGGTTTTTGAGGGTTTTTTTTGACACAAGAGATAGTGATATTATAGTTATGTTACATTTGTTACATTAAAAAATTGTTTTCATTTGTATACACTGCAATTTATTATCCCAAGACATGGCTTTGTATACACCTGTGAGAGCTGTTAGTGCTTAGTGAAAACTTGGCACCAGCAAGCAGTGTGACATTAATGACTTAATTTGGTGGCTTTGAAGTGAGAGGTCACCAGTCACAGCTCAGATTAATACTCGGGCCAACTAAAACAGCAGGAAAACGCCTTTCATGTTTTCGAAGACTTTGATGCAGTTGTTGTTCTTTTAAAAAAAAAAAAAAATGTCACATAAAAAATCCAGTGGCAATTTATGTATCCCCCTTTTTTTTTAAGAAAACCTACTTTTATCCAAAGCTGTTAAACAAAAACAACAATATTTTTGTAATAGCGATGGCTTTGTGTAGGATTAACAGACAGATTTACTCTAATAATCCACTTACATCGCTTTGCTAGTGCTGCCAATAAATTGGACCAGAAATAAAGCTTCCTTTGTGCCATGTGTCTGATTTGGTTTGTCCTTGATTTTATGGGTATTACTTGTGTCCACTTTTCTTTATCTAGACGGGTTATGTGATCAGAGTATTACACTGTGCAAGGTAAAGTACGACATCATTTAGAAAGAAAGTTTAAAACAGATGTCTTGCTGTAGCTTATAATCATAGGGTTTGAATAATCATGGGTTTTCCTGCTGCCACAGCTGTTGGTTTGTAGATAGAATTTTTTTTTTTTTTTAAAGAACACAACTAAACTCTATCCATAAAATAAATGACTAACCCCAATTATCTTTTTAGATAATTGTGAAATAAACTTTTTTATGGTATTTTTATGCCTTTTAACTGCCAAGATCCAAACATTTGAGTTTTCAGTCCTATACAGTATGTGGTTACTCCTTCTCAGCTAGTCACAGTTGGGTTGATCTAAACCAAAAGAAGATATTCGGCCTCCAATTTGCAATGGAAAAAATGCAAAATGTGTAGTCTTTATATACATTTTTAAAGTGTTTTACTAGTCAAATGTTTTTTTTTAGTAGTTTGGGGCATAGTGCAGAAAGGTTAGAACCTCGGTTAGATTTCTATTGCACTCTGAGGAGATTTTTCGTTCCTTTGATAACATTGTGGCCAAGACAATACACTGATAACAATAAAAAACATGGGAGTAGTCCATTCCTTACTAATATTTTTCTTGATGTATGTGGCCCAGTTGAAGACAAAATTATTGTTGTGATGTTACTGGCACCAGAATTAAGGAGAAACCTCAGTGGGCTCCCAGAGGCAAGTAGAAAGCTGGCAGAGATTCTGACCCTTTCCCGGTTTATTCAAAATAAAAAGTTTTGACTGGAAGTGCACTTTCAGTTTGTATGTCTTCCCAAAAAAGGTGCCTGCAGGTATCCCACCTCCTATCCTAATCAAAGTGGTCACAAGGGCCCCCAAACCCATCAAGCTCAGTATCCTAAAATTCACTTCAAGTGCCAAAGTCAGATTTGTAGAATTCCACCTTTGCACACATTACATTGGGTACTAGAGCTATACCTTCACAGCCAGAAGAAGCAATTTGGATTGAATTGCACTACAACGTTTGGTCTTGACTGGTTGTTTTAAACTAAATCTCCAGTTTTGTTTCCTCCTAGTTTATTTGCACATGCTTTCTTTAGGAAATGGTGAAAAAAATGTTTTGTAGAACAGTAAATGGTAGTCGGTGTTAAATATGTGCTGGTTAGAAGAAAACCAAAAAAACTGAAATAATTAGTATAAAGATAGTATAGTGAGTAGACGGTGCCTTCTAAACATACAGCTGACCAGTAATCCCATAGCAGAAAACTGTCATTTAGGTCACGCTACCATTGACTATTAGACTGCACCACAAACTGGTACCAATAGCAAATATTTTCTGTGTCAGTGTGTGTACATACTTGTGAATGTCATTAGCGGCTCTTTCACAAAATGTACTTACATATTTTTTTTCCCTAAGGTCTTTTGTTCAGTCACAGGTCATCTTCCTCCTCTTCGGTAATGAAGGGTGGGCAGGTCCTGAATGCTGCAGGGAACAGAGTGTTCCCCTGTGGTCCAGGGTGGCTTGATTATGTGCTGCTAGGGGATGTATCCTTGATGTCCTGGGCCCACAGAAAATAAGTTGAATGACAAAGTTTAGTTCAGCCTAGAAGAGGACTGATACAGGACAACTGGACTGGCGAGTCTGTGGGAGACAGCAGTAAGGTAGGGTGAGTATTGCATCCAGAGCTGCTTTTTATTATAATTGTATTTAGATGTTGGCTACTTATGTTTAAACGAATCAGTAAAGCTGGAGTTGGGCTTTCATTTCAAAATGCAACATCCAGTTTTCACTAACCACGGCAACAAATTAGCACTCAGCATTTTGTGTGTTCTAGTCTGGAAATCTTTTGACGTTAGACTTTAGGACTAGTCTATTCTTAGTAAGTGTAACTAAATTATTTTTCTAAGTTTAATACAGCTTGTTAAAATTGTTACAATTTCTTATTCTTACTTTGGCTGTGTGTCTCAGTTCTTAGTATTTGTTATTGTTGTTCTGATACAGGATTAATGCCTGCCAATATACATTTTACAAGAAAACCAACAAGCAAGCAAATCTCTGAGGCTTCCATTTCCTCTAGCGAGTCAAGCCCCCAACACAGGTAAAAGGACTTTTACAATAATATATCAATAGGCAATATTGTTTTAAAGTGTACCTGTAACGGTGCCAAATCTAACACTACCGCAGAAGTGCAGTTACCTTGTGATGCCAGTACATGTATCTTAAGGTCGGTGCTCCTTTGGAGCCTTTTGGATTGCTGGCTTTATACTGGAACTTGATTTAGGGCTTGTTCATACCATGTCCGGATAACGTGCAGACCAGAACAGTTTGTTCCCGGACCAAAAAAAGCATCCTAATGTATCCCTATGGTATTTCGGGCTCTGTTCACACCAGCGCAGTCCGTTCCAGTCCGGACAAAAGAAATACCGCTTGTCTCATTTCTCTGGTCTGTAATGCACTGGAACGCATGGAAGCACATAAAAACGCAGGTGCACACTGGGCTGCACCTGTAAGCCCATTTTAAGCTAAAGAAAGGAAAAAAAGTGTCCAGAATCGCTGTAAAAATTCAGCAAAAACACATCTAAATGCATTACACCGCGTTACAGATCTGGTCAGGAAAATGGTGTGAACCTGGCCTGAGGGCCAAAGTGTCTTTAAGCCTAATTCTTCATTACTCAACAGTTCACAGCCAGAAACTATATTAGCCATTAAAGTTTTGTCATTGAACTGTAAATGGCAGTAGGCAAGGCTTAATGTTGAAGCCCAGCCTTTGCAGACACCACAGTGTGCCTGTCCTTCAGCAGTGTTCTTGGCTAATGTTTAGGTCCTGACAGATATTAAAAAAGCAACTCCTTAAATCTTAAATGGTAATACCACAAAAAAAGGGAGCTTTAAAGGTACCTTGCGAACACAACCACACTTAACCATACACTTTTTGTAACACCATCACAATTTTATTAATACTCAGACAAAAGCATTAAAAACATCCAACGGTGTTCTATTCATGCTCAGCAGTACTGTGTTTATGTAACTGAATTCCATAATATATTAAATAATCCTACAACCTTCTAGGCCCCCTACATGGATATACAACATAGTCCTATAGCAAGGTATCCAAAAAAGATGTAAACGTTCCAATATGGGTGGCCCAATCTTCAACGCGTTTCGCAGCTTGCTTCCTCAGGAAGAGAAGGAAGTAGTCTTATTAGAGCAGTACATGAAGAGCACATAGCCTATGCAGCCTGAACAATCGAGCAAACAACACCACACTGCCCAGCCACCAACCAGAAGCCAGATGGGAAAAGCTAAGCTAAGTGAATACAATTCTTTATGAGATCCTATGCCTGATAAATCTCAAATGGGGCAGCAAGATTTCTAATATAAATGTCCTCCACTGGTTCTGAAATTTCATGGCTGTCCACACTGATACTGAAAGCGATGAAACACGCAGCCGGGAATTTTCCCTTCTCCGGTTACCAGTCCTCTCCAGCTCTTCCCCTCACAGCCTGCCACATGAGACCAAGAAGAGTGTTGTGGTGTTACTCTGTATTCTATTTTTGGGGTGTGGCACCTATTGACTGAGGGGCCACCGATGCACCAATGGAGCGTCTTTAAATCTTAACTGGTCATATAGTTTAAGAGCTACACAATCTCGTCCACAGTTTCTAAATTACTGTTCCCTACCATGATATCCTGTGCCGTGAAAATGCTGGTCTATGTTCCGTTTTGGAACTAGAAGCTCACAGCTGTGAAGGATCCTAGTTTCAAGACTTTGTTGTGACTAAAAGTGCTGGTCTCTCACCATCCATAGAAAAAACACTCTGATTGGCTCCTAAACATGTGATCACTTTGACAGCTATAGTGATAACATAGGATAAACCCCCTGACTAGCTGTCCATTGTGCCTTGCACTGAGCAAGGCACATTGACAGCTTGCTGAGGCTGTTAAAATGCTAGACGGGATTCCTGGAGGTGGTGCAGTGGGTATTGAGTTGCATTGTTGGTACTAAATTAGAGATACTATGTCCTTGATGTGTTTGATTCCCTTGCTTCGTCTACCTGTTTCTTTTAAAGGCGTTTATTATGGCTGCTGTATGTCCCCCCATCTATAAATAAAGAATAAAAAAAAAAAAATTGATATAAAAAAAAGTTATTGCAAACTGTTAAGAATAAGATACATTTTCGTTCATTGGCGAGGTTATAATAAAAGAGCGAGCAATTTATTCAAAGCCTTATATGGCCTTGAAAAAATACAAAAATATTTATGTAGGCAAATCAGTCATAGAATTATTGTCAAAAAACCGACACATACTGGCACTGCTAAAATTGGGTCTGGGGATTAGGTTTCAATTAGATAATGTTAATGGCCTTTCCTATTTATATGGTCTAGATCCTTGGTTCTCAACTGGTGGGTCGTGACCCAAAAGTGGGTCGCGACCTTGTTTTCAGTGGGTCGCCACGTGCCTTCCACTTTTCTATGTGAGTGGCTCCTCAGCTTCCCCTAGTGTAGCAATATCAGTTGTTGCGCTGAGCAGCCATTCAGAATATGCTGCCTGGCGCCAAGTGTCAGCTTGAGCAGGGGTAGGCAGGAGGTATGGCCGCGAGGGAGCTTCATCCATACATGCATTGCTTAGTTTCCTCATGTGACCTACAGGGCGCACCAGGGAGTTGTACAAGCAATGCATGTATGGATGGAGCTCCGTCACAGCAGCCAAGCACTGGACCCCAAGCTGAGGATCGCACGCACAGTACCGCGATGCCGTGCGTTCCATTGCAGTGCGACTTGGGTCGCCACTTAATGTCCAAGGACAAATCTGGGTCCTGAGGTTACACAGGTTGAGAACCACTGGTCTAGATTGCATTGGGGCCTACAATATATATCTTTGGTTCCCCTTCTGTCCCGTCGAGCTTTGCCATAAATGATCAGCTTGTGTCTCAACGGTAGTCCGATCACAGAGAAAACTTTGCATCAGAATATAAGAAAGCACTTGTAGCCGATCCAACAAAATAGAGGTAGCCCAAACACTAAAAGCATCAATGTTAAGTTATACGAATAATGTTTTTGCAAAAGAAGGAGGGGAATTGCCTGCCGGGAAGAAGGCGCACACCGCTGTCACAGCCGTTATTCAGTCTGCTCGTTGTCCTAGGAAAAGGATGCCGGGCATGCAGGCAGGAACATCCAATCACATGCCAGTCCCGCCCTGTCCACCAGCGCATGTGCTATGTGGGACACAGGGCTCACATATCACAACCCCACAGCAGGCTCAAGCGGCGACTATACCCACCCTCCTGCGCAAGCGCAATGTGGGTGCGGGTTACCAGAGTAACAACACGCCATTCAATATACCAGACAGGACGAACCAGAACCACCACTTTGCTCGCATAGGGGCATAGCGGCGGCATACATGCACAATAGAATAACGCTATTATTAGCCATGTTGTTGGGTATACATATGAAGCAAAGGAATATGGAAAAATGCAGTAGAGAATAAAAACAAAATAAATCTATTCCCTCTCTGTAAATGTATATAACACAAATATAATAAATTAAAGTTGGCTAGCCATGATATTGTTATAGGTAGCCAAAAATAAATTATATTGGGTAAACCTCCATATAGGAGTGATACCTTGCTACCATAGAAGGCTATGTAACGTGATATCACAGGAAAAGGATAACTCCCTGTACTGTGTCAATTATCGTCAATTAATAGAAAAACAGGGCAAAACCCACTGGCTATATAGTCAGGGCGGAAAGGTGAGAATTACCAGAATCAGTGGTTATGAGGAAAAGAAATAAACGGCAAAAGCAACAGAAACAAGAAAAAGAAAGATAGGGAGAAAAGGAGGTGAGGAAATGTGTGAAAAAAAAGTGAATTATTTTTTATTTACAAAAGGTCCCAGAGCTGCCGCTGTGTTAATAAAGGGCCCACTGGTGAGCCGTAGAAATAAATAAATGATCGAATCAATTACCAATGTAACATAAACGCTTTGGGGAAAGAATAGCCCCCTTATTGCGCATAGGTACGGTCATCTCTCATCCAAAAAACACGTTAATGATAAATTCATATTTAAACCCTTAGGATGAACAGAATCAAGGGTATATATCCCTTGTTGCCTCACTACGGAGGAGTTGTTTAGACCTGTCACCTGCCCTAGAATGCATGTGTACCTGCTCAATGACCATGCCCCTAAATTCATGTATCTGGCTTGTTCATGTCCAATTCTTCACCTTTCTGTAGTTTACTGACTGCTACGCATATGTCGCTCCTATGCTTTTGAAAGCGACGTTCAAAAGGGCCAACAGTGTTGCCTACGTATACTAATGTAAAGGGACACTTGAGCAGGTACACACAAAACTCGGTGTCACAGGTGTAAAAGCCTTGGATAGTATACCTCTTACCATTATAGGGATGTGGAGGGGTTTGTTCTTAACTACTGGGGCTAAGGATTTATCAGCCTGCAGGATATTTAAATTGGTAGTTGTTGCCCTATGGATATCTTTAGACGCAGAAGGAAAGGTTTGGACAAATGGAATCTTGTCAATTGCAGGGCGCACTTTGGAAACCCCTGTAAACCTCTCTGTTGCTTTAGCGAATGCTGCATCAATAACTGCTGTGGGGTATCCCCTCTGAACAAAACCTTCAAACATCTCATTGATCTGTGATGTACGTGTTATTGGATCTGAGCATATCCGCATAACACAGAGAAACTAAGAAATTGGTAGGTTATCCCTACCAATTGATGTTGGGGATGGGCGCTGCTTTAGTGTAGTAACACGTGACTGTCTGTAGGCTTAGAATACACCGGTGTGACAAACCTGTTGTTAATGGAATCCAATACATCAAGGAAGGCAATTTCAGCTTCTGATATCACAGGATTGAGGTTTCAGGGGCGTGCCCCTGAAACGCGTAGACCTTTAGAACTCAAGGAGGCAGAGGACGCTGATGTGCTGTACTCCTTCAGACTTCCGCTGCTAGAGATTTTTATACTTCATCACCATTTGTATGCTTTTAACCACCGACTTTCCTGTAAGTACATTTTTATTTGCGTGTTGTACAAATAAATTACACTTTTACACTATGGAGGCGCTCTGTCTTGTCCCTTGT